CTCTCCCCCCCCCCCTCCCTCTCTCTCTCTAAAGTAGTGGCCAAGAGCGTCGGCGGCGCACGACTTGCCTTTGTGAATGTGGATGCCACACGAGTTTGCCGCCTTGCCCGCGCCGTTGAGGCAGCGCGGGTCAACGCCCGCCAGCGAGTATGAGAATGTCTGAGTGTCGTTCTTCGTCGACTCGGACTCGAGCGTTACGGCTCCGCTCACCAGAAGGTTGCCGTCGTAGTTGAAGTACGGCGTGAAGCCGGTCGTCGTCATTCGCTCGAAGGTGGCGTGGAGCTCTCGGCGGGCGGGCGGCTGGGCTGCGACGTCGAGCGGGACCGGGAGGGATGGCGTGAGGGCGAACAGACCGAGCATCGCTTCAGCCTTAGCCACGACGCGTCCAATCTTGTCACGGATGCAGGTTGTGCCTGAGAAGGAGCCGAGAGGGTATTCGACGGGCGGTCGTGAGAGAGAGAGAGAGAGAGAGAGAGAGAGAGAAAACCGCCAATGGCCGTTATCCGTTAGTGCGGACGTCGCCGCGGCTCGCCTCTGCCGCGGCGGCTGCTGCGCGCACGCGGCGGCGCCGCTCTCTCGCGAGACGGCTGGCGACGCGGCTCTCCGCCGACGTACGGTGCGCTCGTGCGACGGTCCGCGGCGTGGCGTGCGCGGCGCTGAGCGCCGCTCTGCGAGCGCCTCTGCGCCTGCACTGCCTGTCTCTGTTGCTGGTGGTGGTGGTGGTGCTGCTGCTGCTGGTGCCGATGCTGCTGCTGGCGCGGCGCGGCTGTGCGACTGGGCTCGACGCGCGCGTCGCGAGCGTCTGACGCGGCGGGCGGCGTCGGGCAGGTGCGCTTCTCTCTCGGGTGGTGGTGGTGGTGCTGCTGCTGCTGCTGGTGGTGCAGGTGCTGCTGCTGGTGCGGCGCGGCTCTCCGACGCGACTCGATGCGCGCGTCGCGGCTATCTGACGCGGCGGGCGGCGTCGCGGGCGGCAGCGGTGGCGGCTCGCGGGTGGAGGTGGAGGCTGGTGGCTGTGGTGGACCTTGAGTTTATTTCATGGTCGAGTACGGGGACCGGGGGGTCAACCGGGAGGCAGGGGGTTCGACCAGGCGACGGAGGACCGTGGGCCATCGCGGGGACCAGTCCGTCCGGAGGGCGCGTCCGGTAGATCCGGATGGTCTCACCCGGTGGGTGGCACCGAGGCGTCTTGGACGCTCAGCTCTACCTTAAGCTCCTGAGGGGCGCGTGGTTGTAACCACGTAGTAGGACTACAGCCCACCACAGACACCCTCCCCCACTCCTCACGTGTGTTCACACCCTCACCCTCTCCTCTCTCCTCTCTCTCTCTCTCTCTCTCCTCTCTCTCCTCTTGTCTGTGCTGTCTGCCTGACTCAGGCACTCAATCTGCCGATGCGTGATTGTGTGTGGGCTGCTCCGAGGGGGCCCTCTGTGCGATCCGACGGGTAGGGGGGCTGTGCCCGGGCGGTGTCCGGTGTGGAGTCCCCTTCTGATCCCGCCTGGGATGTTGGGTGTGAGGTTGTGGCGGCTTCGATCCCAAGGGGGGGAGCTGATCCCACTCAATAACCAACTCTCAGGGGCAGTAGGTGGGCGAGCTTCAGGCACGCTCATCTCGATCGTCAAGACGTTGCTACGCGCGGTCTTCCGCGGGGGGAGCTGCGTCGACGGGTGCGGGACCGCGGCGCAGCCAGTGCCGCGGCGAGGCCTCCGGCTGTTTGCGGCGGGCGGGTTGCTGCTCGCTGCGATGGCGAAAAACTCGTCTCGCCACACGCCAAGGGCTTATGCTCTGGCGAGACGTGAGGCGCATGCGCCCAGGAGGGGAGGGGGCATGTGTAACGACACTGCTAGAGATGCCTTTCGGGGCCCAGAGATAAAACTTCTGTGATGCCATGCGTGACCTAGTAGTGTCCCCAGCTATGGGCGTGTCCACGTTGGAGCCAGGTGTGGTGTGGGCGCGAGAATAGCTCCGCCGTTCATGGAGGCAACCGATGCGAGTCGACTGGTGTGTGTCGTCGTGGTTTCGTATCAAGAATTCTCTCTCTCGGGCGGTCGTGTGGGTTACTCTGCCAGCCTTTTTCTTATTGTTGTTCAGCCGCCGGGAGGGGGGGGGGGGGCTTAGCCACGACCGATGCGTCCTAAGATGTGTTCATGACAAGTGCGCATAAACACAAATCATATCAAGTACCCTACCATACCCTGATGGATGCCGCATCACCCACCTCTCCCCTGGGTGGGTGCTATATCAGAGAGTTACTCGTATTCCTGGGTTCGTGAACACATCTGGACGGATATACGAGTAACTCTCTGATAGAGCACCCACCCAGGGAAGAGGTGATGACACAAAATCTCTCTCTCTCTCTCTCTCTGAGGTGATGCGGCATCAGGTTATAGGATCCCCAAGGCGTACTTGATATGATATGTGTTTATGCGCACTTGAGAGAGAGAGATTTTTAGCAATACCAAACAACTCTAACACTCACACGTAATTTGGGGCCTGGAGCCCTGTTCACGCGCGCGCGAGACGTGCAGACAGGGTTGCCAGGTGAGAGCACTTGTCAGGAACACATCTTAGGACGCATCGGTCGTGGCCAAGCCCCCCCCCCCTCCCGGCGGCAGAACAACAATAAGAAAAAGGCTGGCCGAGTAACCCACACACGACGACCGTCGAATCCCTCTCGGCTCCTTGTCATGTACAACCTGGTCGGCCGTGACGTGATTGGACGTCGTGGCCAAGGTGCGATGCTCGGTCTGTTCGCCCTCACGCCATCCCTCCCGGTCCCGGTGCCGACCTCAGAGACGGCCCAGCCGCTCCTCTCGTCCGACCTCCCGGCGCTACACAGCCGCAACATCCAAGCAGGCCAGTTCGCGCCAGGCGAGCCCGTGCCGGTGTACGATTTCGCGCCAGGCGAGCCCGTGCCGGTGTATCGGTACTCGCAAGGGCAAGGCGAGCCCGTGCCGATGTACCAGTTCGCGCAAGGGCAAGGCGAGCCCGTGCCGGTGTATCAATACTCGTCCGGCATGGCGGCCCAGCCGTACGCGAACCAGCACTGGGCAGAGGTTCTGCCCGGCACGGTTGCGCCGCAAGGAGCGCCGGCGGGCTACTTTTACGACGGCGCCCCATCGGCCGAGCCCCTCCGATACGATTCGGGCTATGGCATGCCATACTCACAGCCAGCACTGGACGAGCAGTGCGAGTCGGATTGCGCGGATGCACTCTCCAAGGCGACCGGCGCCTGCCTGCTTGTGCCGACTCCTCTCATCGCGATCGTCGCCCCGATCTGCTACCTAGCCGTCGCCGAGGCCCAGGCGCACTGCGACCGGTGTCCCGAGATCATGTGCTACTCGATGGCCCCGGGCAGGACCGTCTACAAAAACTGGTGGGGTCTGTTCGGCTCGCCCGACGAGGAGCCCTTCTTCCCCTTTGCGAACCCGGGCCTCGACTACGAGTGCAAGAACGACTGGGCCGACATGCTCCCAGATTGGGGCGGGCGCGAGGCCCTCGAAGGCATCTGCGACATGTGCGAGCCCGTCTTTGATAAGTACGGCTCCGGCCGCGGCCGCAGCCTACTTCTCGACAACCTCCACATGGGGCTCATCTCCACCTCGGTGGACACCGCCGTCGACACCAAGGTGGACGTCGGCAAGGATACGGCGGCAAAGGCTCTGGACGAGATGTCGCCCGAGACGATTCGGGCGCTGGGAGGGAGGAAGGGCCTCACCTCTCTCGACGAAGCAAAGGTGGGGCTCGTCGCCGAACAAGCCAAGCTGCACGCGCAGGACAAGCTCAGACAGGGGGCCGTGCAAGCGGCCGCGTCCGCGACCGGCCTCGACGCGGACACCGTTGGCTGGCTCGGCTCATCGGTTGGCGCGCTGGACTACGCGTGCGACTGCGGATGGACGGAGGATTACGCGTGCCCGAGCGCAGAGCAGCCCGGCCGCAAGGGCTGGGCGCAGGACGCGTCGACGCAATGCTACAAGTACTGCTGCGAGGGCGTGGGGTCGCAGCTGAAATCGCTCGAAGAGATACGCGCCGAGGTGGGGCTTGACGACGAGACGGTGGCGAAGGGCCTTGGCTCGGTCGCCGACGCTGTCTCGGGCGACGACGATCAGGGTTACGGCAGCGAGCACTGGCAGCAGGGGAGTGGCTACGCAATGCAGCAGCCGTTCCAGCCGCAGCAGCAGCAGCAATGGCAGCAGTGGCAGCAGCAGCAGTGGCAGCAGCAGCAGCAGCAATGGCAGCAGCAAGCGCCGCCGCCGGCACAGTACCTGAATGAACGGCCGCAGCAACAGTACCAGCAGCCCCTCCCCGCTCAACAGTACGGCCCAGCCGCCGACACGTACGCGCAGACACAGCAGGGGTACACGCCGCCCTCCGCGCACCGCCGCAAGTTCTGGCAGCTTGGCGACGCGGGCCAAGGATGCGACGCGGTGTGCGCCGCGAGTGGCTCGGCCGAGTGCGACGTGGCGACGCTCCGCGGAGACGAGGCGGATGAGGAGTACGAGGTGGAGGGCATCGCGAAGAACCTCCTTGGCCAGCGGTGCGCCAGCAGCTCGGGCTCATCGCCCTCCTTTGCGCCTGCCATCGACGCCGCTGGAGGGTGCCTCTATGCCAACCACGGCGGCCGCTCCTGCACCGTCACGTCTGCTAGCCACCGTCGCTTCTGTCCCTGCGTTGTCTACTAGAATGGAGCTCCCGATCGCCCGGTGTTTAGTTCTGTGTACACATTGTTGTAACCTGGTCTGTGCAAGCTCCCGCACATCAGCTAGAGAGGACGGCATTTTCACATCTCTCTTGAGCTGAGCGGCACCGCTCGAGCAGCAGGACGAGATCAGATTCCCGTCGAGAAGTGCGCGCCACACACGACGAGGTGCTCCCCGCCGACTAGCGACTTGAACTTGACCACGACGGCGGAGAAGTCCAGCGAGTCATCAGGAGCAGCCGTCCACTGCTCCTGCTGCCAGCGGTCCTTCTGGTCGCGCAAGGTGTTGACCTCCGCCTTGCTCAAACAGCAGCACGTGGGCTGTTGTTTGCACGTCTCGCGCGCGCGTGAACAGGGCCTTTAAGTGCCAGGGCTTCAGGCCCCAAATGATGTGTGCGTGTTAGAGTTGTTTGGTATTGAAAATCTCTGATGGATGGCCCATCCATCCATCGCGTGATAGCGTGAAGAAAGAGTGCATACGCAACACCGCTCACCGAGGAGAGAAGAGCAATTCTCGACACTGGTGCGGAGCGGACCGACGAATCCGGCTCCAGCGTCGCGGATGTCTTCGCTGGTGCGGATATGGGAGGAACCGCCGTCGGCGCTCCAGCTCTGCCTGCTGGCACTGCGCAGCACGCACAGAAGATGCAGGCCCTGTACCGC